AGTTGCCCAGTTACACCCAGGTTAGAGCTGAGACATTTGCTTGCAGCTTGCTCTCTCTCTCTCCTCCTCTCTGTCCCATCAAGGTCCCCCCCCCGCCCCATATCCCAGAATTTGTGCTTTTAGATTTCTCTTTGCTCTGGTGAGTGCAGAACTCCAGAGACAACCTGTCAGCTTTCATCACATCCCCCTGCCTCAAAAGTTCTATTTATACCAGATACATTTTCATCACATCCACCTGCCTCAAAAGTTCTATTTATACCAGATACATGAATATGGCTCTAGGAGTTCAAGGTAGGGGAGTTATTTATGCTCCAAATCACTACCCCATCTTCTCAGGAGAAGAAAGAATAGAGGAAAGCCAGTTGCAGTGACCATCACACTGCTAGGCTTTCATTTATGTATTCATGGTCCATGGTAGCTCTAACATGTCATTTTACAAAGCTCATGCACCAGCGATCTGCTCAGGGCAGCAAGGAGCTGAAATAACCAGAAGCAAGCCCCAGGTCAAAAAGATGAGAAAGCACCCCTTGTGTAAGCAGCACACAACAGGTGTTTATGTTCTGCTGTAACCCATGCTGTGATTTAGATTATACCTGGGTAGCAGGTGTGAGAAAGGGTCAAGGGCAATGGCTCCCCAACCTCTGCTAGCCTGAGGGCAACAATACTGAGCCAGTGCGATGCTACAGGCAATGTCATACTTACCTCTGTCAACTTGAAGAAACAGATCTGTAGAAAGCAAAATTTCCTGTAGCCACAAGCAGAGGGTCTCATAGGCAACATGAGAGAATAACAGCCATAAGTTGATGGAGAGTAGAGTAGATTCAGGCTAGATATCAGGAGGCACTACTTCACAGTCAGGGCAGCTAGGATCTGGAACCAACTTCCAAGGAAAGTGGTGCTCACTCCTATCCTGGGTGTCTTCAAAAGGAGGCTAGATAGACACCTTGCCAGGGTCGTTTGACTCCAGCATTTTTTCCTGCCCACGGCAGGGGGTCGGACATGATGATCGGCTGAGGTCCCTTCCAACCTTACCATCTATGAAACATGTTGTCTGAAAAGCCAGGGTCTAAAGACTGATCTAGGGCAATGGCACCTTTTGGCCAGCCCATGGTTCTGCTAGGGGCATATCTCCTCCAGAGAATGGCACAAAGGAGAAAAACTTAAATGTAGTTGACCATCTTCACACTTCCCAGAAGCTCTTGCACATATATTTTCCCCAATCTTATAGGTATTTACCTTAGCTTTCCCCCCACCTCCTCCTCCCTTCACTCACACACCACTGTTGTTATTTTCCAAGATTTTTAAACACCAATTAAATTGCACTTTGCATCTATTTGGCTAGTAAAAGAAAAGGAAGAGGAACAAAACCACACAAGGAAGAAGAGAAATACCACTCAAACCCTACTGTGTTAGTCTGTGTGCATATAAGGCAGAAGAGTCTTCCCATAATACTTTGCTCTTTTCTGAGAAGTAATCATCTCATACACTTAATATATTGATATCTTCTTCCCATTGAGCCCTGGAGTATCCCTCCCCCATTGTGAACGAGTTGTGACATTTCTGACCTACAGTTCTTAAAAAGTCAGGATAGCAGCATCAAGAATGTTTCATGTCACCAGACCAGTGTCAGATACACTAGCCACTGAAAGGAACAAATCAAAGAGGAGGGCTTGGTCTGGTCCTTGCACAGACCCATCACCCTACTAGGTTCCTTGCCACAGCAACATGTTTTACCAAGGTAGACCGTTGCTGAATACAAAAACACCTAACCATGGGACTGGAAGGAATAAGGCACAGACTGAACAGAGAAACAAGCAATGACATTTCCAGACTGATAGAGGAGGGACGGGCAGAAATTGTGTCCACTCTGATGTCCCAAATAAGAGGGAGGAAGAGAAAGACACTGCCTCAAAATAATCAGGAACCAGAAGAGATAAAGTGTGGAGAGGAGAAAAAACACAAAAACAAAAAAGCCCGCAAAACATGCCAGATGCTGGGACAAAGGACAGACATAGGGTATCACACTATATCACTCCCTGTCACCAAGTCAGGAATGGACAACAACAACTGGGCACATGGGATCAAATCTTGACTGTGAAGTGCGACCCACCCTGGGCATGCCTCTGACAGAGGTCCAGAGGACCGTCTAATCCTTACTCTTTGGCAACACTTATTCAACTAGTCATGCCACTCAGACCTTATTGAGCTGAATGTTTGCCTGCTTAGCTTGGTGAAATGCGGGTTTATTTGAGGAGAGGAGAACAGACTCTCATTCCTGAAGATCCTCTCTAAAACTGGCAACTGTGGCAATAGTGGTTTTTCCTCCTCACAGCCCTCTTCCCAAAAGGCAAAGAAAAAATTGATCTAAAAGTCCTTCAGAAGATGCAGAGAGGGTCTTTGCCTAGACTACAATGGAAAGCATTAGCAACATTTAGATACACACATGTTCATGGGTAGAAAGATTTTGAAGAGGGGGGTACAGATGGTGTGGTGAATCCATATATCATCTGCACAACACATTTTTCTCCAGTTAAACTGGAACTAGAATATTTACTAATATGCTAGAGGCCCATAGCTATATTATTCAGTTTAAGATCAAAGCAAAACTAAATACAGCTTTAGTGGCATGTGCACCCATTAGCTGAATTATACATAAAGTTTAAAAAAAACTATAATAAACTGGGCAAAATAGCCAAAAGATACTGTTATGAGCCCTGTAGTCATTATAGTTAAGTGTACATCTCTTATTCAGTTTCATAATACAAAAATCCAGCTTTCTGGAGCATCTTGCTAGTGCATCCAACAGTTCACTGTCATTTCCACCCACACCTGCGTCGGTGTACACCCGAGTTACAGTTAGTAAACCTGAGTTAGGCAGACAAGGTTCCTTGGGTGAATTTGATATCTTTTATTAGACCTCAAGGGAAACTTACACAACACTTCCCAGAGATGAGCTTATGAGCTCCATTTCATCAACCTGCTGGATACTAGAGATCATGGACTAAACATAGACATTGGATTTTTGATACATTATAATCTGCCTGGCAACTGACTTCCCAGCCCAGCCCAGTCCCTGGCTTCTTTACTTTTCATTCCATCCAGGAAGAGCACACACCAACTGCTGCAGCTTCCTGAGCCTGACGAAGGGTTTTTGAACCCGAAAGCTTGCTTAATAACTATTCTCCAACCATTTGGGTTGGTCTAATAAAAAGATATCAAATTCACCCAAGGAACCTTGTCTGCCTATGTCCTTAGACCAACACGGCTAACAACCTAAACCCCTAAACCTGAGTTAGGGTTTTTAGCGAGAACTAAAAATAGTCTGCAGGATTGTGAAATAGAAGAGGGATATTACCAGGACTAGCTAACAGAAAGCAAAATTGCAGCAGAAAGGGTAGCTTGATTAACGGAAACTCAAGACCATTAAAAAAAAGAGGGAAGATTGTTAACATCTGTGAAGTGGAGAGAGATTAGCAAGAATCTGATAGATTATAATGAGCCATGAAGTCAACTGACCTCCCTCAGCACTGCCCGAGTAGAAATGCTGAGGCCCTTTCCAAGCAATTGCACAACTACACCCCCTCTCCCCGCGCCCATGAACTTAGTCTGTACACACTAAAAAGAAATCATGCTGAGCTAGGCTCTGGAGCCACACTCCAGTCTTAGCTTGGTATGAATAAGCCAAGCCCTTTTCTTGCCTTTACATATAAATTAACTAGAGCATGTGATTTATGGTATTTCCTTCTCTTGGAGACCCTTCAGTTTTCAGTAGTTGAAGTAACAGCAACGCAACACATTTTCTGTTAAAGTGTCCTTCAGCAAGCTACCTTTCAGGGTTTACCTGTCAAACCTCCTCACGTCTCTCCCCCAGTTGTTCTGAATAGCATCCCTTCTTTCTTTGAACTCAAGGTAAATTTCACAAGCAAGAAAAAACCCACCCAGCATCTCCATGCTGGATTCCAACACTGGAGCAGAGCAGGGCAAGAGAAGACCCCGCATCCTATTATGTTTCTCCATCCCAAAGTCCATGTGGTCTAACTAAAACTAACATTTGGTTCTTAAATCTTCTAAGGGTTTGTCTCTACCACCATCCCAGTGTTCCCAGGGAGGGCTGCCCTTAAGAATGTCCCGTCCACCCATTCCTACTCATATACTCCAAACCCATAAAGGGGGTGGTAAAGCCTCTTTGAGGGTGCCCCCTGTCAAGATCTTTGCCTCCAGTATGCTCGCCAGCAACTACTGAGACACCTTCAGATTGGCTTCACCACTACATTTCCAGACTTGGAGCATGTCAGAGGGAATGGGTAAAATATGGGAAGGATGATGTATGTGCTCAAGAGTTGCTGTCCCTAATTGCCACTGCATCCCTAGGAGTCCTCTTGAGAAAATGCAATATGTTTTAAAACAAATCAACTCCACAGACCATCCCACACTTTGTTCAAAAGCCAGGGCATTATGACTACAGGACAGTGCTGCAGATAGTACCTGCAGAGCAGTCAGTAACATATGTACGCACTAAGAACTTTCAGATGTGTGCACTGACATTTGTTTGCACGATGCCAGATGTTAAGTAGCTGCTCCCTCTTTCCATTCCATACCTGGCAGTAGATTAAAAATATTGAGGAAAGCAAACTTAACCCAGAACTCGGGTATTACAGACCCATCCCTTATAGAATCAGAACTTTCACCATTGGGAGTATCAACACAGTGATGCATGGAGGTACACCGACGCGATGTAAATGTGCCCTGACTTTTTAAAGGATCCTGCACACTGAATATTAAAGAAGCCCCAAAATTCCCAGACAGCTGCCTTGTTTGTTATATGCAGAGGATTTGAGAGATAAGGTAGAGTTGCTGGGAGACAGTTCTCCAATAATAAGTGCCCCAAGCCACCACAAGTAGCCATTTGAGGTCCCAATTGCAGTGTTCCAGAAGCCCCAGTAAGAGTAACCTTTATCCCTATCTGTTTATAATCTACAGAAGAGCACAACATAACTTACCTAAGATCCCACAGCTGTCAAGTTGCAGAAAGAGAGCACACGCCTTCTGAGCTCTAGTCCAGTATTCAAGGCTAATCTGATGCTCTTGAATCTGTGCACTAGTTCTGGAAGCCTTGCAGAAGAGACATTTCTTATGGCACTTGTAGGTGCTTCAAGCTTCTGAAACAAGCGAAGAAAATCCTGTGGTACAACTCTGCAGAATTTTGACTCATGTGGTCTTCACCTCAAAGCTAGAACATAGCATGAAGTTTCTTATAAATTAAGCAAACTTCATTTATAAAAATGTCATTTATAAAGTTCAAGTTTGCTTACAAATGAAGATTCATTAGTCTCAGAAGCATTTTTAATTTCTCCTCATTTTCCCCAGGTTGTCTGTCCATTCCTAGTTCAGGGAGAATGAGATGGCAGAGGCCTGCCTTGGGAATTATTGGGTTCTAATACAGGAAGATAATCATCTTGATGCAAGAGCCTCAAGAAGAAGTTACTTTAGATGAATCTTGAGCCACTGGAAATGGAAGAGGCAAAACAGCTCAGATCATCAACTGTTGTAAACAGAAGTGGCTCCCCTGACTTCAGTGTAATGACACAGGTTTACACCACCTGAGGAACTGACCCAGGGCTCCTATTTCTAAACAAAAATCAAGACAGCAATGCAAGCTGGTTGCCTATCTGCAGGATCCAGTGGAGACCCTAACAGCAGGAGTCGGGGAGAAACCAAGCAAACAGAATAGAGACAGATGCATTACAAGGGAAAACAGGGGGGCAATACTCAGCATATGATGGATAGGGAGAAAAAAAGCAATTGGCAAAGTTGCTGGATGGAGGGGAAAGTACATGGAGTTATTCAACCTAAACAACCACTATACCATGAGCATCCTCCAAGTTGGAAGAGGATCAGTTTGCTCCTTGAGCTAACAGAGAACAGCAAAAGTTGGATCATGTGTATTCACCTGGTTCACAACTGACAATTTGCAAGAGGTGCTGAATAATGGACAAACCCCTCACTATTTGCTATGGCTTTTACTTCAGTAGGTACTTTTTCTCTCCTGAACAGGAGCACGACTGTGGTCCCATGCAGCTTACTGGAGAATTAGCACCCTTTGAAATAAAGACTGCAACAAACAGCTTGAGCATCTCAGCAATCCTGCACAGCTGTCTGTGCAGATTCTATATGCCAAAAACTAGTTCCCAAGCCCTCATTTTCATAGGGTGGTAAGAGGAACCTAAACCTGCAAAAAAATTGGGGTTCTACTGTATCTCCTCAAAAGTAGTAGGTTGCTGTCCTCCAGGTGCACCAGAAACTATGGAGAAGCATGCCAGGCCATTAAATACTGTTTCAAAGTGACCGCACTGCTCTTCATAAAAAATACTTGATTCAACACTCATCATTTTACAAAATGATCACAAAGCCAAGAGACAAACAAGGCTCTTGCCCAAAGAGACATCAGTGGCCAAGCATTCAGTTAGAGGGAAAGTGTTTGCACAGGAACAGAAGAGAACAAAGAATTGACTGGAAGGAAGAAGTGATGGGAAACAGGCCAAAAAAGCTTTTTCTCCAGAACATGTCAAATTTATTAGCTTTATTTTTCCCCTTCTCTGTAAGGATATTTTGGGGAATGAGAAATTCCAATTTAGACACCCACTCCCTCAGCCCCAAACAGAAAATACTGACAAACAATTCCATGCAAATGTTTGGGAGTTTCAACTTTTTACAGAACTAGCTGAATTTTTACCACTTTGGGAACAGTTTAATCAAAAACTTGTGGGGGTGGGGGCTGGAGTGAAACAGCAAAAAATATTTACAACCGTTTTTAATTGTTTGTTGACCAGTTCTACAGTTTTTGTGAAATTTCCGATTCAACAGACCCAAGAGACTCAAAGCAATTTTAGATAAGCCTTCTACCATTTTGGCCATGGGCAGACATTACAGTTGTGGCACTTCTTATGCCTTTGTATTACTAGGAAAGGAAAGGGGACAGAAATGCATGTCTATAGTGCTACTAAAATGGCAAAAGTACTGCAGAAATGTACCTGGATGAAACAGGAACTTCTCTTAAGTTTTGTAGGGCTAAGTTTTGTAGGGCCATATGCAACTTCTGTCTGCTATAATGCTACAGAAGGTCTATTGGTCACCCTTAGCATACCACAGTGCTCTGCTCTTTACCCCACACCACCACCCCAGTGGAGGGGCTGCATAGCTGAACAAACCTCATCACCCTAAGACTGGAGAACACACTGCTGAATGCCTTCACAGTGACTTTGTGGTGCTACAGCCAGAGAGCTCTGCATGTTCATTCCTGGCCTTTTGAGATCCCCTACCAAACTAAACCAAAGATCCATCCACTGCTAACATGGGCTAGTTTTATAATGGGCAGTGCAGACTGTACCTCCATGACTTTAGGTTGCAAGAGAAATATTTATTCTGTTTAACCTAAACAGTGGCATAACTCTAAATAAAGCAAAGCAAGTAGCATTTAATCAGCACATAAAAACAGGATCTATCCCTGTGCTATATGGCAGAGGCCCACAAAATGAAAAGAAGATATATCCAAGATTGAATGAAATCAGAGCCAATCTCTATTGGGCTTTAAATTCAATGATGTTTGTTTGTACAATCTGTTCTCAATTGTAGCAATTGCTGTTGACACATTACCTAATAGATGGGAAGCAGTTAAACAGATTACAACACAAATGATGCAAGACTTTTTGCTTCCAAGCCTGCTGCTTAGCTTAATTTCAGGCAGTTAAAGCAAACTACAAACAAAACCAAACAACCCCCCTTTAAAAAAATTACATGTGTTGATTTATTTTTAGGATTCTGCACCAGCAATGGAGTTGACATGAAATGCTAGTGCTTTCATAGATTTCATAGACATTTGGGCTGGAGGGGACCCTGGAGGATCAGAGTCCAGCCGCCTGCCCCAGGGGCAGGAAGTCAGCAGGGATCATAGGATCCCGCAAGATAAGCATCCAAATGCGTCTTGCAGGCGTTCAAAAGGGGTGCTTGAAGCGCCTCCGGTGGTAGTCTATTCCAGACCTTGGGGGCTTGGACAGTGAAGAAGTTCTTTCTTATGTCCAGCCTGAATCAGTCGCAGCAGAGTTTGTGACCATTCAATCTTGTCATCCCTTGAGGTGCTCTGGTGAACAGACATTCCCCCAGATCCTGATGAGCACCCCTGATAAAAAACAAACAAACTTATAGGTGGCCAGCAGATCACCCCTGAGCCTGCGCTTTTCCAGGCTGAAGAGCCCCATGGCTCTTAGCCTCTCTTCATAAGGTCTGTTTTCCTGACCTCTGATCATGTGCATGACTCTCCTCTGCACCCTTTCAAGCCTCTCCACATCCTTTTTGAATTGTGGAGCCCAAAACTGGATGCAGTACTCCAGCTGCAGCCTCACCAAGGCCGAGTACAAGGGGAGAATGACATCCCGGGATTTACTTGAGAAGCATCTGTGGATGCAAGCCAGCGTTTTGCTTGCTTTACTAGCTGCAGCATCACACTGGAGGCTCATGTTCGTCGTGTGGTCGATCATTGTGTATTTTGAACACAACATTTGAAGACAAATTTCACTGAGGTCCAAGTGCCTAGATTCTATTACTCCAGGAAAAGTTGATCAATAATATCCCTATAACTTAATGAAAAGTAATTTACTGCATTTCTTGGATTGATTTTGTCATCAACTCATGCAAAAATTGAATTCTGTACTGAAATTGCAGGGGCTAATTTAAAGTTTAATAAAAAAATTACTCAAAAAGTCTTAAGAACTGAATAGAAAATGAGATCTCATCTACATGTTCCTGTGTATATGACCCTAGAGTTTGAAATGCCCTCCAGCACAACACTCAGAATACCGACGCCCCTTCTACACAAAAAACTCCACTATTCCTTTCCCTTCCAAATTAAAAAGTCTAAAAATGCTCTGTATATTTTGTCCCAAAACAGAGTTTAGTCCTATAGTTATAAAAACAAACAAACAGGGATTTAGTGAAATCCACATAGAAGTTAGCTATTGATTTTACATGGGAGATGCTCAGATACTCCACTGATGTCTGGCAAATAAAAGCCAGAGAGAGAGAGAGAGAGAAAAAATTAAGAGCTCATGGTGGAATGAAACAGATTTCCCGATTCCTAGTGTATTGCCCCCATCCCTTGGTCCTTGATCCCTCCTGTGAACACAGCAGTTATAATAGACCTATAACAGCGATTCACAACCAAGGTGCCACAGAGTACCATACAATGTTAGCACTCTTAGGAGTGCAAACAATTCACAAGATAACCCTAGAGATTTCAAATATACATCCATAGTTGTGGTCTTTCAGTTTTTTGCAACAGAAAAACTGCTGTTATTTTTCTGTAGCCAAAAATAGAGTTGCATTTTCCAAGTGCCTTGAGTCTAAGACGGTTGAGAACAGCTGACCTATAACACCCTAAAGAGATAATATCACAAGACAAAAATTACAGAGGTAACAGGCAAGATTTGTTAGTTATTTGAAGATGGTGCTACTACAAAACTACATCTGTAACCAGGTGTTTATTAGTCAGTAGGTGATAATAAACAGGAAACGCTAGTTAGATGTGGTGTGATTTGCTGATGGCTTGAGCAGTGCAAATATTAAGTTGTTATGTTCAGGATGGAGACAAACTGACCTGTAATTTTCCTGAGTTGTACTCTCGGTTGACTTCATTTTGTGTGCAGTCTTCAACAAGTTGTGTGGACAACTGCTGTGAATATTCACAAATAGAATCTAAACTGCATATAGCAGGCTTTGGCAATCAGAGGCAGGGCAACTGGGCAAGCTTTCTAATCTAACTCAAGGCCATCAGTTCTGTGCTTATAACAGCCCTGAAACTATGTCCTCTCAATTTCCAGGCTGCTATGAGAGGCAACGGGCTCCAAGTAACAAGGTAATGAGCCTTAATAAGATGGGAACAGCTGAGAGCAGACTGTTCTGGGATGAACTGGCAGAGGCCATTACATTGGCTTAAACAGTGCTTTTAAACCAATAGGATTTGACAAGTAATAGTGTTATTTGCATGACTAAAATAGCTGTCTGCTTAACTGTGAATATATGGCAAGTGGTATAGGCTGTACAGTGCTTGTAAAA